AATCCAGCGCTGTATACATAAATCTGTTGGTTAATTTTTCACTAAAATTAATTATACATTTTTGCTAATTTGCTAATTTTCTCTTTTCTTTCGTCTCGTTGCAGGTAAATAACCAAAATCGAATCACCATGAAACGGGAAGATGGGACAGAGATTTAACAATAGTGTTGCCCTGACTTTCAGTTAGCCATTTCTTGTCGGTAGAGTGCTTACTGTGCAAAAAATACGATTATATCTGTAGATGGTTTGAGATTGATTTGTGACCCACAAGTGAATCCATAAGCAAATAAGCCTCAGGTGTGGGATTCCATATACTGCTTTTACTCCACAGAAATGTTAAAAAAAAATGGATTGAAAATGATGGAAATATTAACCAAGTTTCTCCATTCAAAGTTGAAGTGGCTTATAGGAACCTTCAATAAAAAAGAGAGGAATAAATGTTTGGGCTGTGGAAGTCGTAGAATATCTAAAATAAGTATAGAATATTTAAGGATTTGATTGTTGAAATCGAAAGACTGGAAATCAAAATCCCTCTTCCCGAAAACGTGTTAAACTGCCAAAACGTCTACACACGGACGACCTTCTGCATCTAGTATTCCTCCTTCATCACTGGCTGGTGGGGAAAAAACGAGGATTATGGAGATTTTCATGCGTCCCGGCAGTGGCTCATTTGCATGCAATTATTTCGTTGCCATCGACATCAACCCTTAGACGGGAGGGGAGTTCGAAATCCCGATACAGATAAATGGGCAACGTACTCCAATTCCACTGGGCGGCTATTGATGTGCCCCTCCGCCTCCACGTAATTTTCCTCGAGTTGAGGCAAAAATTCATTCATCTTCAATGGGCATTTAATCAAGCTACGAATTCGACTCCCGCACAAAAAAAAACCTCCCAACTTCAATGAAAAATGCATACATCCAAAAAAAAAAAAAAAACTTAAAAAACAAACCAACAGAAAAGAGCGACAAAAAATAATAATGATAGGAAGATAAAGATAGGAAGAAAAAAAAAAATGGTAAATGAAATGAAATTACTGGGGTACATAGTGGGTACAGAGGGGTGTGGTGCGGAGGAGAGGATAGCAGGGTGGTTAAAAAAATGCAAATGGTGAAATTTTAAACCCTTGAATGTGCCGCCATTGTCTTTGATAGTCCTCGACAGGGGCTGGGAAAGGCGACTGTGGGTGGGATGTGGGCCAGCATCCTGGGTTGCCCATTTGCCAACTGGGCTGTAAGTAAGCGCATTTTCCACCGATTTTTTTTTCCTACTTTTTTTTTTCCCCCCTCCCCGCTTCAGTTGTTATTGTTGCTGTTGTGTGCCGTCCCCTTCCTTCCGTCCATTTGTCTCTGCCGCGAGCCAGCCGCGATTCTCTCATTTCTCTCTCTGTGTTTTTTTTGTCTCCTTTTTTTTGTGCTTTAATTGTATTTAGTTACATTAGTAATTATCGATTTTGTTTGGGAGCTTTTGCTGGGACTGTATCTGGCTTTCGCCGAAGTGAATATGCATCCGCGATATATTTGTATGCCAGACAAAAAATATATATAAGTGGATGGGGACATTATTTACAAAGATGTATAGGGATAGATAAAGGAGAGATAAAAATAGAGATATTGAGGTTGATAGCTCTAAAGTATGGAATGTGCTGGAGGATTGTAGATATACCGATAGAATATAATATCTAGTTATACCTACCATTGAATAACTGAAACCAATATATACAGATTATGCTCGTATGTATGTGAGAGGAGTAACGGTCATCGGAAGATGCCACTTGCACTTCCTGCAGCAGACTTCAATCCAATCTCCTGCCATCCTACCATCCACCCACATTATCAGACCATTTGAGGTCCACATGGATGGTTTTTCCACAGCCAGGTTAGCAGTTATGGCTTAGACAGATTTTTCCCTCTTTGATCAGCGTTGGTCCTTGATATGAATTTTTTTTTTTTTGCATTTTGCCTACCCCTTGCGATTCTTCTTTACTAGCCATTTGATGCCATTTTTTATTTTTGTTGTAGTTGCTTCGTTGTCGTGTTGCTCCCTCCGGTTGCTGTCAGCTGGTCGGTCTCGCTTTTCAATTATGACCGACTGGGTCCGGCCCTGACCTGTCGCTATTTTAGCCAGGATTGGATGGAGCGGTGCGATCGAGCTGGAAGCGGATATTGTGTGCCATTTAAGCCATATATCACTCAAACGCAGCATTGACGCTTTATTTTCATGCACTAATTGCGTTAGAATTTCAATGGGGCACTAAGGCCCACCACTTCCACTTCCTCTCTCCCTCCCTCTCCCCACACCCGCTTCACTAGCATCTCTCTTTGATTTGACTTTAGCACAAGAAGAGTTTTTAATTGGAATTTTGCAGTGGAGAACGGGCGGATATTATCAGGCAGACACGCACAAAGGGGATGGGAATGGTCTGCTGGCACTGATTTTTCTTTGCTTTCCCCTCTATTTGCCAAGCTTTTTTTATGTTGTTGGTGTTTTTTTTTTGTTGGTTAGCTCTTGCCCGTTGCCCTGGCTACATATGGATATCCCTGTGCGAGTACATACCTTGCTCCTGCATCTGCTGCTGCTGCTTCTGCCCAATGCCGATTTTTCCGTATTTTCCTCAAGACCTTTTTCACGCAGCCTTCTTTTTTTGTTCTTCCTTCATCGTGTTGCTTTACATAAGACCCAGCGGAGTCCATGCGAAGTCTCGTTCTAGTGCGCTGTCCGGGTGTTCTGGATGTCCCTCCTGGCCATTAGAGAGCTCTCTCTGTGCTCTGTGCTCAGAGTCCTGTGTCCAGGCCTCTCTGTCGTCGTAATTAAAAACAAGAAAATTCACCAAAGAGGCAAAAAAAAATGTGCCAAGGAGAAGGAGCCCAAAGAGGTTGGAAGGGGGGTCAGTGTAAGAGGGATTGGGTTCGCCTTGGGTTCGTGCACCTTCCCAGGCTCCTGATACTCCTTGCCACAATTTATTTAAATTTCTGGGCCGAACTCTTTTCTTTTTTTCGCTCTTACCTCTCTTTGTTAATTCCATCTCTCTCCCTTTCTCTGTCTACTCTCGCGTTTCTCGCGATTCCTTGCTGTTGTTTTTTATTTCTTTAATAAAGTGCCGGACAGGCAGAAGAAAGTGCCGGTCCAGTCCAGTTCAGTCCAGTACGAGGGCTGCAAAAAGTTGCGTAAATTTGTTATGTACTTTTTTGTTTTGTATTATTTTTAATATATTTCTGCTGAACTTAAATAAATAAGGTAAAAAGGGAGACGATGGGGTGGAGTCGAATGCTGGCAGGAAGTGGGGAAAGCCTTGGCGTTGATGAGCAGAGCAAGTGGCAGCAACAGAAACCACTGGCTGAACCCTTCATCCACATACATACCCACACCCCACACACACACACACACACACACACACACCATGAAAGCAATCATGCATCCTTTCCTCGACATTCCGCCCCCTCAGCTCCCCTCCACTTTCGGCCACCGCCTGCGCTGTAGTTCCGTTTCCGGGCGCCTGCCATTTGCATCTACAGAGCTGAAGAAAATTTTTCTTTCATTTATTCGAAGGATTCTTCATCTGCTCAGCCTCCCTGCACAGCCCCTTGCCCCTCCCCTCGTCCACTTTCTTGGAACATTTTTTTTCTGTCGAAGAAGAAAAGATTTTTTTTTAAAACACACAAACTGGACTATGGCCCAAGGGAGGGGGCATGGACGAGTGTGGGGGGGTTGGGAGTCGGGGTCGGGATATTTCTTTGCGGCTTGAGCGAACCCAAAGAACGGGTACACAAATTTCAACCTACTCAATTTTTGCCTTAATTTCTTTTCTGTTTCGCAAGGAGACCTCGGGCTCCATTCCATCCCAACCGAAACCCCACAAAACCCATTCCATGCCCAGTCCCAACCCAACCCAATCTACACCCCCCGCCTTGCCTGAAAGGCGGTAATAAGAATTTTTTCTTTAGCATCTCTGCTCCGGAGTAGCAGGAGCAGGAATGGGAATGAGAGTGGGAGTGTGCGTGCGGCGTAGTGTTTTTTCCGTATTTTTAATTTAAAATGCGAAGCATGAAAAAAAATGTATAAAATGGATGAGGGGGGAGGTTGGGGCCATCCGGATGGACGGAAGGAGGCTGCCTCGTCCGCTTGCGCATTGCTTAAAAGAAAAACTTGTGAAGTAAATATTTGTCTGTCCAATTGCTGCGGCGACTGCCAACTGCAGCGGATTGGGACAGAGACTGGGAGCTGGTTTTGGGTTGTGGGCGTTGGCGTTGGCATTGGCAATGGCGAAAGTGTTGTTGGAACTGGGCTGTGCTTTGGATGGACACCACTGCGGACTGTGGACACTAGTGACCATGCCAAGACAAGCGACGCCGTAATGACTGTCACAGCGTTCCATGGACAAACAGACAGACAAACAGACGGGAGCAGCAAGCAGCAGGCGAATTTCCACCACCTAAGCTGGCTTATATATTCTCAGGGGTCTCCTGTGTCCCGCATCCTGGGCGCTGGTGTGTGCGTGTGACGTCGGAATGGGCGCGGCTCTTGGAACTCTTTCAGTTTTCAACTTTCAACAGGAGTAGGCTTGTTTTTCAATCAAATCCGCCTTGGATCAAAGCCGCATAACAGAGTCCATGGAAAACGTTTGCTAATACAACTGTAATCAGTTTGAATTTGATTGAACACGCCACACGGAAGAGAAAGTAATGGATCGTTATTTAGCACATATAGAGAAGAGTACAGTAAAGCACAGGAATACAAATCAAACTGATCATTGATTTGCTTGTGTGAGTTCGGCATCCATTCTCTTATCGAATATTTCCGTTTAAATTTTCAAAAAAAAGAAAACTTATAGGGAAGACTCGAGACACCTCGTCATGTACACGACATGTATTTTGTTTTTGGCTTGTCTTTACGTTTGTGCGGGTCAACCAAGGGGATGTCGTCGGGATGTTATGACAGCCTCGAATCGATTTGTATCGCCTTACTCAACCCAATTTTCCCTTTTGCTTTTTTTTTTTGCAGGGCCTCTTGCGCACCGCCGAACAACTGAAGATCAAGGGCCTCTGCGAGACAGCGGAAAACGCGGATGATTTGAACGACGCGGCCACAGCGACAATAACCGTGTCGGAGAACATCCAGCAGGCGGTCGTGGGGAGCATTGTGAATCCCAGCATAGTGCCAGGGGGAGCAGCCTCGCCCTCGCTCGAGCAGCAGCACCATCAGCACCACCAACAGGCCCAAGCACAGGCCCAGGCTCAGGCCCACCAGCAGGAGCAACACCAGCAGCAGCAGCAACAGCAGCAACAGCAACAGCAGCAGGTGCATGCCCAGCAGCAGGTACATGCCCAGCAGCAGCAACAGCAACAAATCAACGCCTTGCTGACGCAGCACGGAGTGGCCAGTGGCAGCGTACCTTTGGGCGGACAGCTGCTAAGCACGACAGCGAGTGGGAGCAGCGGCAGTGGAGCAGGCAGTCTCCAGTCGCATTCCGGGCTCCAGCCGACGACGCGCAAGTCGCGACTCAAGCGGTCCAAGTCTCCGGATCTGCAGTTGAGCGGAGGCAACGGTAACGGCAGCAGCAGCAGCGTATCCCAGCAGCCACAGCCGGCCCATCACCACTCGCAGACGCTGCTCATTCAGGGCCAGAACCAGACCTCCATTGTGAGCCTACAGCAAACGGCCGAGGGCAATTATATACCCGTGCCGGGCACCGGTGACGAGTCGGACGTGGATCACGATCACGATCAGGATCACGATCACGACCACTCCCACGATCACTCTCACAACCTATCACACTCCCACGACCACGATCACGAGCACGAGAGCAAGCCGAGCAAGATCTGCAAGACAGAGCAATCGCTCGCCTCGCCGTCGTCTAACTCGTCCAGCCACTCGAACAATGCAACGGGCGTGAGCGGCGGAGTGACCTCAGCGGGCCAAGCCATCGTCACACAAATTGTAGTAGCGCGCGACGGAAAAGATACAAAAAATATGACTAGTTTAGGCATGGGCATGGTAAGTGTGTCGCCGTCTCATCGTTACCGTCTCCGTCTCCGTCTTAGCCTTCAGCCACAGCCTCAGCCTCAGCCTCTCCTGCATCCAGATACAGGGAAGGCGATCCCCAATTAGGCAATAGGCAACCGCAGCCCCCCAGTCCTGTCCCTTCCAGTCCCGTCCAGCCACCTCCCCACACTTTCCGCACCAACCCTATACAGATGCTAACTTTGTGTTCTTTCTTTTGTATACGAATCTTGATTGCATGCAGAACGGAGGCCTGCTAGGCGTGCCCATGGGATTCCTGGACTTCACACCCGAGCCACCAGCACCATCTGCCACACCAGTCACCGTTACGGAGCACGTCGACCTCTCGTGCAACCCCAGTACGGACACACGCGATCTATCAAGTGAGTTACTGGTAGTGTAGTGCAACGATCTAAGAAAACCTCCTGGGATTTTCTCTGCCGTGATTAGATCAAAGCTAACGCAATCCATTTTCCACCCCTTTTCTTTTTTGGTTAGATCCCACCGAACCGCTCGACATTGACAATCACCTGGCGCAGCAGATCCATCGACTCGATCAATCTCCCATGCATTCGATAGCCCATCATCACACCGGGGACGAGAGCAACTCGAACCTGGTGCAGCACATCAAGAGCGAGGTGATCGATGCCAAGCACCTGGCTGCTGCACAGCAGCATGCGATCTCCCACGCCCAGCAGCAGCATGCCCATCATCAGGCCCAGCAACAGCAGCAGCAGCAGCAACACCTCCATGCCCAGCAGCTGATGGCCCAGAGCCAGGCTCAGCAGCAGCAGCAGCAGCAACAACAACAGCAGCAGCAGCATCAGCAACAGCAACAGCAGCAGCATCACCAGCAACAGCAGCAGGCGGCGGCAGCGGCCGCGGCAGCTGTGCACGCCCAGCATGGTGGGCATGTGTCGCACGCGGAAATCAGTGGGGCAACTGTCATGGAGATTGATCCGAGCCAAATCAAGCACGAGCCTGGTATGATAATAACGCCGGAGATTGTCAATATGATGTCCTCAGGGCATATGGGTGAGTGTTGCATCAAATATTAATCTACATGTTCTACGTGAACGATCCAATACTGACATATACTGATGTTTGTTTCTGGTTCTGGTTCTGGTTGCAGATATGTACAATTCGGACACGAGCGAGGATTCGATGATGATCGCCAATGGCTCGCCGCACGATCAGAAGGAGCCGCACTACACGAACTTGGATCAGCAGCATGGAGGCGGGCTGGGTGGCAGCGTTTGCGGCCCCGGTGGTGCTGGTGGTGGTGGGGGCATGGGTGGTGGGGCTGGCTCTGGCTCTGGCGAGAAAGGTCAGTTTAATGGTCCCAAAGCTTGGACACAAGATGATATGAATTCAGCTTTAGATGCATTAAAGAACCAAAACATGAGCCTGACGAAAGCATCTGCCATTTATGGCATCCCATCGACCACCCTCTGGCAGCGTGCTCATCGTCTGGGCATCGAAACGCCCAAGAAGGAGGGCGGCACCAAGTCGTGGAACGAGGATGCCCTGCAGAACGCCTTGGAGGCGTTGCGCTCGGGCCAGATATCCGCCAATAAGGCATCGAAAGCCTTTGGCATACCCTCATCGACGCTCTACAAGATAGCGCGTCGTGAGGGCATCCGCCTGGCGGCGCCGTTCAATGCCGCACCAACCACATGGACGCCCGAGGACTTGGAGCGTGCATTGGAGGCGATCCGGGCGGGTAATACCTCTGTACAGAAAGCCAGCGCTGAGTTTGGCATACCCACAGGTGAGTCGGCCCTAAATCCAAATCGAAATCCAAATGGGATACGGAATTCAAATCCGGGATCGAAATTTTCTCGTCGTTGCTTATTCTTCTCCGATGCTCGATTCATCTCCGTCTCTTGCTGTCTCTCTGTCGCATTGTCTCTCGTTCTTCGCTCTCGTGTCGCATCCATCCGTCTGGGCATTCCCAAAACTAATCCCATTCTCTCCCTTCCCTTCACTCCACTTCAATTCAATTCACTGCCACAAAGGAACACTTTACGGACGCTGCAAGCGGGAGGGCATTGAGCTGTCGCGTTCGAATCCCACTCCATGGTCCGAGGATGCCATGAACGAGGCCCTCAACTCAGTGCGGTAAGTCTTTGATTCGATCTGAATGCTCTGCGAGCTAGTATCTTGGCCAACTAATCCCCACATTCGCTCGCATTCCTCCAACAGGGTTGGCCAAATGTCCATCAACCAGGCGGCCATCCACTACAACCTGCCCTACAGCTCGCTCTACGGCCGCTTCAAGCGGGGCAAGTACGATGTGGTGGCCAACACTAGCGGCGTGTCGCTGATGAACACCTCGGGCAACACCACGGGCAGCATTGAGATTATCGAGCACAGTCAGGAGAACTCGGTATGTAGCTCCCTCTCTCGCTCTCTCTGTCTCTCTCTCTCTCTCTCTCTCTTCGTCCTCCTATACAAACACGCACTCACGCTTTGACTAACCAAAAATAACAATAACAATTGATTTATTTATGCAAAAGTTGCATATGTTGCAGCAACAGTTCCCGTACAGTCCATCGCCGCATCCGCCAACGCCCCAGCATCATAGCACACCGCAGCATCACAGCTCGTCCCAGGGGCCGCCAACGCCGCAGCATATGCAACAGCATGTGGTGCACATGCAGCAACAGCAATCGCCCCACCAGGGCCACCATCCGCAGCACATGCAGCAGGACGTGGTGACGTCAAGCAGCCAGGTGGTGCATAGCCAACAACAGCAACAGCAACAGCAACAGCAGCAGCTTCAGCAGATCTATCAGCACCATGGCACGCCCGAGCGTAGTTGAGAATCACTGCATGCTGCGGCAATAATGGGCAGCACCGGTGGATTAGGAGGGGGAACAGGTGGAGGTGGTGGTGGCTCTAGCACCAGCACCACTACGGCCAGCACTACGCCCTTTGCCAGCATATCAGCGTTGGTCAGCGGACCGGCTGTCGCACCTCCAGCCACAGCCACAGCAGCAGCCACTGGCACCAGCAAGCGCAAGAAATCGTCCAAACAAAAGCGTTGAAAGCAGGATCTGCCGCGGGATCAGGGGTACGTTCAGGAGCAAGAGCAGGAGCAGCTACATGATGATGATGAGGAGGAGATGAAAACGATTGCCGGCGTGGCCAAGTCCGAGGACATCAAGTTTAGATTTAATTACAAGCACTGGAAGCGCAAGCTGATGCAGTTCCATTTGCTAATGTCCAGCAAACAGTAGGAGCAGACGGAATAGGTCGGATAGAACAGGCAGATAGGGTCGAGTCCCCTCCCCCAACCCATTACGAACTTCCCAAGAGTAATCCAATTCAATCCAATCCAATCACAATTACAATTAACTAGATTTGGACATTAATTACACAATTGAGATGTGTATAAACTGTAAATATAACGAGAAATATGCTTTATCTACATTATACGGAACATAGTTAAATAGATGTAGGTTCTCAAAGTCCTTTGTTCTAGCCGAGTAAGCAGACCGTAGAGAGAAAGAAAGATATATACATATACATATACATATATATATATATATATATATATATATATAGATCAGACCGTACAGGAAACATGAATTTTGCTTTGTCTAGACTCGAAAGATAATGAATTAGTTTTGTGGAGCTACCGGCTTGAAGAGTAGTTGGTTTTTAGTGGACATAAAATATGCATAAACGTACGTATACGTATACGAATACAGATAAACATACAGATATAAAGGTATATATCTATATGTATATATATTTTGGACTTGTAACCATTCGGAGAACTTTGAATGAGGGTCAAAAGTAGGTGTAAGAAAAATGTAGCAGAATTCTGATTCTAGTTATTTCCCTTCCTCTCTCTCCCATACACACACACACCCACACACACCACTATCATAATTTTCGCTTAGTGTGAGACTGAAAGTGCGCCGTAAAACCAAGAAGCCCGTATAGCCAAGCCCAAAACAATAGCGAAAAGAGCGAAGAAATACTTGAATCAAATCAAATGCTGTATACCATACCGTTGAAAGCGAGGGAAGGAATGATTAAATACCTTAAAATAGAATTAAAACGAATTATCACGGTTCTAGCAATTAAACTCATTAGCGTGTAACGACAAAAGAAAGGAAACAAACAAAAAAATCACCCAGCTGAAATGCAGAAAGAAAGTTATATGAATTTTGCGGAATCGCCCTGAAGACACAACATTTTGATTTCATTTAAAATTGAATTTAGGATACGTAGAAAATACATTATGTAGAATTGAAGTAACATGTGAAATAAAATGTATTTTTGATAAAAAAAAAACAAAATCATAAGTGGAAACAGTAGAATTTTGCCAACACATTGCAAACGCAGACGAGTATGTAAGAGAAAACTACCAATAAATAAATACACACCTATATATATGCAAACATATATACATATATGTATGTATGTACTTGGAATCCTCCAAGTTAATTGTAAAATTTCTAGTGTTATATCAGCACACAACAAAAATTGAACACAGTAATACAATAATAAACCCAAACTTCTGCATAGAAAATTTGAAAAAAGTTTTTCTTTCAGGCAACTTTAGGATGCCCCTTGAAATTATTATTTAGGTATATCCGTAATGAGATAGAAGATCTTTCCACCAACTTCTGCATGAATAGTAAATTTAAAAATTTAAAATTAAAAAAAAAATACGAAAGAAAGAAATGTATGATAACTTCCAGTAGCGTAAATATGTAGAAATCCAAATCAAACCGAAAATGAATATGAATATGAATACGGGCTATAGTAGTACACAACCATCAGAAGTAACTTTGACTATTTTTGGTTTCATCTCAATTTTAGGCGAATCCGGAGAGGAGAGCGCATGGTGGAAACAACTGTAAATAAATTTAAATATAGTTTTAATAGTGGTTAAGAAAGCTAGAGGGAGAGGTACATATGTGGAATTTGAGAATCAAAGTTGCAAACTAATTTATTTTAGCGTTATAGATCCGTAGAACTGAATGCAATATGCTTACCTTATACTCGACATTATTTAATTCTATTCCTATTATCTTTAGTTGGATTCACAAGTGTTTTATAGCAAAACTGTATATCATTGTAAATTAATGAAAGCATATGAAGTACGAGTAGCATATACAAAAGTTAAATCAACAATAAAAAAAAAATGCAAAAATATCATAACATTGTTAAAATTGCCGCAAGAGCAATTAAAAAAAAAAATTCCCAGAATCTTGAAAAAGATGGGGAAAATGGATCACTGGAAACTAAAAACTAAATGAAATATTACATGTAACCCTAAGCTAACTAAACGTATAAGTGTAACCTTTAACCACTCAATATTATAGCACATTTTGGATTATCAAATATGCGTATACAGAAATATCTATTATAAACCATAAATGTAAACCACCCATACAGACAAAATCCCCAGAAAAGGAACCATCTATCTATGTAACAGGCGAAATAGAGAGAATACAAAACAAAACACCCATGTAATAAACGAAACAAACCACATTTAATGTAATATTGGTATAACGTAATTTTTAAAGTGAGGTACTATAAATAAAACGATTAAATAATAAATAATGTGCGTTTATTCTTCAACTTGCGTACACTGTATGTTAACATTCAGTGGCTCTGTGTGTCTGCAAAAGTTTTCACCAAACGGAGAGCTTTTGTGTTGACAGGCTTTTTTAGCTGTTAGTTTTCTAAAAATAAGATTTGAATTTCTAAATCGCAAACTAAAAAGCTTATCGAAATAAACAACAGAAGACAAAAAGCTTTGTCTCTGTACATTTGATCTTGGCTCAACAGATTCGTTTGGCTCTGTTATGTTAGGAGAGCTTTACTGTTAGCCGCTCTGCGGTTGGCGCATGCTCTGCGCACATGGGTCCATCAGCGTTTCGCATCGCACTCACTTGGAAGCGGAGGCCAGTTAGAGTTTTTCCGCCTGCTGCGAGTGAACGGTTGTTTCGGCATTTCTCGTATTCTCCCATGCTTTGCACCGTTTCCTACCGCTACGCATAAGATTTTTTACCAAAAAAGAAGACAAAAAAAAATTATAACAGCCGTAGCGTTTTTTCAGGGCACAAAAAACAAAACAGCACAAGACACAGAAAGGGAAGACATTTGCGCAATTTCACAAGGAAACAACAAGGATTTGGAGTCAACAAAAGCCGAAGCAATTTGTAAGTGTAGACTCGTAAACAAACGCGCAAAAAAAGTGCCGAGTTGCGACTCGTGAACAATGGCCGTGACAAGGGCTAGGTGAGGGAGGGGGGAGAGTCAGCGTTATCAGTAGTGTAATTGATTAACCTGCAGTAATTTGTGTGAAATACAAATTGCAAGCGACGCTTGCCAGTGAAAGTGATTGTGAGATTGTGATCTAATTGAGTGGGGGTGGTACATTGTGTGAATGATGTAGGACGGCGGATGCATCAATTTAGAAATTCACAGGGATTTGCAAAAAATGAAATAATGCCCTGTCCGCGCTCACAAAGTGTTGAATTATTAATGCCTCCCCCACGCACGCACACGCGTACATTAGGATATCGGTTCACCTGAGGGGTGGGCTGGGGTCGAATTGGGTTTGGGGATGTTGTTGCGGGCCAAAGGTGGCAAACTGGAGCTCCAGGGCCCAAAAAGCACAGCTCACACACTGTTTAACTGCATAAACAGTTTATTTTTACTTGTCAGGAGACAGCTGTAAGTTCAAGTGTACGACACCCGTAACCCTCGCGAAATTATATTACGCATGGTACACACACACACATATCGGTCGGTCGGACATGAAAATAACATGTTCATTGTGTATACACATGTAGGGCAGCTAACCGTGTACCGTTCAACACGTTTTTGCTTATTAACTTAAAGATAATAAAGCGTCCCCAAACAACGTGTTTGCGTATTAAAATAGAGAGACAGAGACAGATACAGAGAGTGATAGGAAACACGCGAGAGAGTAAAAAGCCATATGTATTGTGGGAGAGAAAGCTTTTTATTTTGCTCTCGTTGTAGCACAGCTGATTGCTATACTCTGCTCGGGGAACTGTGCTCGCAACTGCATTGGCATTCATATCTGAATTTATGTACATATGTATATGTATGTAAATTTGTATTGTAATCATTTACAACAAGTGCCACCTACTGACTGGGATGGTGGTGTCCGAAATGGCGACACTGGCCAACAAGGTCTAGGGCATTGAGTGTGACCGCATTCAGGAATCTTCTGTGTGTGCTCTCTGACCTTGAGATTTTCTAAATTGTTTTAAATTGCGGATATAAATAGTTAGAGACGGTGGGTTAGCTTTCATCAATTATGTTGATGAATTACTAAAAAGTTTGTTAAAATTTGGGACCTTGAAACGAATTTATTCGCAACATAACCCACAACAAGTAGTTAAGAGTACTTTGAGGCATCAAGTTCACGGAACTGAAAACAATCAGCAGCTGGCTTCACGTTTAATGGCCAGAGGCCAAGATAAGTGTGGACGGTGCGTGTGGGTGTCATTCCGCGTCTCGTTGCGTGCTCAATTGCATGGATGGGAATTGTGTTGAAAGGGGCTTAAAGATGAAGTTTAAAAAATCGATTAACAATGTTTTCGCTAGTACTGTTTTAATCCTCGTACTCATAGTATATGGAAAATGTGAGATGATAGAGGACACCCATTTGTTGCAATTAGACTCAAATAATAATAGAGTAAAATAGAGTATTTACTACGATTATCGTTCTTATTTGTTAAAGACTCATTGCTTGCATCAATTAATGCATTAAATTAATATATATTTGTATTTGTATGCCCCTTGCCTCTTGCAGCTCTCTTGCACCCCACAACGAAACTCCAAGAATAGTCGCTGGCCCAATCGCAACTCGACACTGAACGTAGCCCGCCCCAAGACAGGAAAACGCCTGAAGCACTCACTTCTGCGGCTGCAACATACACGCAAGTGAGTAGACGCGGACGGTAGCTAACGGTAGCCTGGTTACCAATGGGAATTAACGGATTTTCAAGTTGAAGCTCTTTTATTTGACCTATGAAAACATATTGATCAGTTTCGAATGTCAAGGTTGGGGCGGCATTAAAGTACAGTGGAGTTGCAAATTGTGTGGATTTGAAACTAGATGAAGAACTCATTAATTATGCAGTCCTTATTTGTGGCTTGTGACCCGAAACTGGAATTGTTCCAAGGCAATCAGCATGGACTGTCTGAGCGACTACTACCCAAATATGCTAATGAAATGTTGTTGTTGTTGTTGTTGCCTGGCCTGCATACGAGGCTCGTGGCCAGCCCCAGCCCTAGTCCCAACTGTTGCAAAAAGTTACTTCAAGCATATGTGTGGGTGCGTATGCGTGTGCGTGTGTCGCCCTTAACAACGGTTGTCCTTAGGCTGTCGAAAAATAAGCAGCAATCGGATGGGATGTGGCCCTCCCTGCTTCCCTCCCACTTGGTTAATCCCTCAGCCAACTGACCCCTTAACCCTTGTCCTGTTTTGTACGGTGTCTCTCTTGGTTACCTCTGGCTTGCTGGAAACCATCAAGGATAGCAAAACCACATCGCATGCTCGATTTCCTCCATTGATTTTGATTGCATGCAATGGCTTGGCTCTGAACTTTCACATCTTACTGGCTAGTCGGGAGTCGAAAGTGAAAACGAAATGCATTCGTAATCGTAATGCTCTGTGTTCGCAGAAACTCTACTCTAGGATTCCCACTACTACAGAGAAGGTACTTACATATGTGAAGAAATGATTGCGAGTTTCACTTGTAACTACAAATTTAAAAAGTGGACTGCAATAATCGGATTTTGTATTCCATGAAGGAAGTATTATAAAACTCCAGAAATTCCCAGAAATCCGAAATTCCCATAGGAGCTTGTTTGGATCCATTACCTACGTATGAGTAATACGAGCACATGAGTATTATTAAGGATTATTATTACATGTCCATCCGTCTGTCTGAATTTATGCGCATATGCATGTGTATTATAAGCATTTTTAAAATGTAACCAATGGCAAATGAAAGAGTGTTTTCACCATCGTTCTGGAAAGCCCTTTCGGTTTTTCGCTTGTGGTCTCATTTGTGGTGTTGGCAAAAATCGAAATGGATTTTTGCGGTTGCTTCTCGGAACTGCAGTCTGTACACCGTTTTCCGCTGAAGAGCTTAATGAGACACATTTATGCGTGTGGTAAAGAGCCCCTTTAAAAGCCGTTACGCATTTTGATATGATTTTGCGATAAAATTGTTAAAGTGCATTCTGCGGAAATATGAAATTAATTGAGCTATGGGTTAGCTTAATTAATTAAATTGAATTTTAGCAGCCGAACAATGTCCTCTCATAACATAATAAACGTAATTGAATTCCATTGGACATATCTGTGGATAATTGAGCGAAAAAATAGCTTGTTGTCTACACAATTAGTATTGAATGGCTGGGGTGGCTGATTGGCATCGATTGTTGGCCAACACATAAAAGCCAGTTAAAGGTGGCTGCAACTGTGCAGCTTCATTGATGTCATTGTGTATTGAAGCCATTTTCATTATGTAGAGTCCTCCGTACATGTCCTGCTCTCGGGCGACTGCACAATATTTCCTGTCATGTGTCCTTCGACAGACCACGCAACCTCATGCCAGGCGAAAAAAAGAAAACATATAGACACACACACACACTACAATAGACCTTGCTCGTCACTGCCAACGGTGCGTATGAGCATTGTGTGCCGATTTTCTCGTTGCTTTCATTATCAATGTCAATGTGGTGGAAGAGTCTCACTAGCAGATTCGCATATCTGTGAGATGTGACGCCTCTAATGAGGTGCTCACATCTCACTTTCAGTCGCTGATTGTCTCACCCCGAGATGAGAATGAAGACAACACGTACTCTCTCTTCTATAGGTCTCAAACAGTACGAGGAATTCGTTCATTCGACTTTGTTTCAATGAGCAAATACTCGTAAATGAAATTGCTTTATTCTCGTGTGTGCTTTTGGTCCGTTTCGTTCTGATGAGACATGAGACTTGATTAATGTCTCTGCACTTTCATTCTCAGTCTTATCTGCTACTCGTATTATTGCATTGAGGGAGCGGAGAATGCTTTTGTTCCACACTGTTTTACACATTGATTTGCATTCACATTTATAGTTTCTTCGAGAGGCGTTCCTCTTTTCCTTTTATTTGTAGCGCGAAATTACGAAATATTTTCTACTTTATTTTTGTTGTTGTTTATATTTTGTTATTAATTAATTTGCATTGAAAATGCGACTACGCAGCCTGAAATATTTTGAGGGCGTTTTGTAAGTTGAATAAGACTTATCCGAGTGAACCAAAGAATCATGAAGAAATCTTTTGTGTGCCATTTCCATTTCGATTTCCATTATCAAGCAGCGTCTGTAGGATGAGCACTGCGGGCACCGATGGAGGAAGAGGAGGAGGAGGAGGCGTTGGAGGTGTAGGAGAAACTGCACCGCCCACAACGCCATCACCGTCTGGCCATGGACCGGGTTCGGGATCAAGTCGTCGCCTCAGCCACTTGTCGGGCAGCAGCACCCGTTCAGGAGGAGCTGCCACCATGGGCAACGTGGTTGGCTGGCTGAAGCAGGTTTCTGTCAAATTCCATCCGAACTCCATACCCTAAACCCATTGATGTGACCCCAGCACCCCCCTGTACCCCCCAGTACCCCACAGTACCCACCGTACCCCTGTGTATACGTGTACCAAACACCCACCACCCACCCCAACCTGCACACCTCCCAAGGCAATGCTCATGCCTCCCCCTAGCTTTGTTCCTATTTATTTCATTTCTTGCCTCCCGCTTGCATCTTAAGTTGCCGTTCCGTTGCCGTTGCCCCTGGCCACAGTAGGCCAGACTTACTCAATGTTGTCGTTCTGTCAGTGTGCAGTGAGAGATTTCAGTTTCCAGGGTGCATCAACTGATCCATGTGCGCTGTTCTGCTCGCTTCCAGGCTTCCATCGAGGTGCGCGACGCAGGCACTCGCACCCTGTCCATGCTCCAGAGCAGCAATCCAAACTTTCGATCGCTCGATCTATCGCTGGGAACGCCGACGGCCACTGTGCCCAACTCGACATCCGTACCCGCCGCCACATCGAGTGCCGCTGCCTCTCTGTGCGGCTCTACCAACTTTGGCAACGAGGAGGACCCCATCGGCAGCCTTTCCCTGACGCCGCAGGACGCCCGAGAGCTGCTGACACACCCAACGCGCGCCTACGTCTACGGCTCCGTCAGCCAGCCCCAGAGTCCACGGCATCGCGGATCTGCGTCGCGCATAGCACCACACGGCCTGAACGGCCGTTCCACGTCGATTTCGTCGCAGTTGGAGAAGACCAAGAAGCTGCTGAAGATGACCGAGGGCGACGACAAGCCCCTGACCATTTTGCACTACAACGATGTCTACAACATTGAGTCCATGGCTGAGACGGAGCCCGTCGGCGGGGCAGCCCGATTTGCCACCGCCATCAAGAGCTATGCACATCTCAATCCGCTGGTGCTCTTCAGCGGCGACGCCTTCTCGCCGAGCATGTGTAAGTAGCAGCTCATCCCACCAGCAAGATCGTATTGACAAGCATATTCCCCCTTTTGCAGTGAGCACCTTTACCCAGGGAGAACAGATGGTTCCAGTGCTCAATTCGGTGGGAACACACTGCGCCGTCTTTGGTAATCATGATTTTGGTAAGAGCAGCGGAATGGCGAAACCTTCCCAAGAATCAGAACGTAATCTAAGCATTGCCCTTGTAGATCACGGCCTGGATGTGCTGGTGAAACTGATCAAGCAGACGGAATTCCCCTGGCTCATGTCCAATGTGGTCGACAACGAAACCGGCCGTCCCTTGGGTGGGGGCAAGATCTCCCACTTCATTTTGCACAACCAGATCTCGATTGGCCTGATTGGGCTGGTGGAGCGCGAATGGCTGGAGACGCTGCCCACCATAGACCCCAACGAGGTCACCTACATCGATTACGTGGAGGCGGGCAATCGTTTGGCCCGCGAGCTGCGCAACGAGGGATGCGATCTGATCATTGCCCTGACCCACATGCGCACACCCAATGACATCAATCTCGCAGAGAAGTGCAATGGCATCGACATCATTCTGGGCGGCCATGACCACGTCCGGGAGGTGACGGAGATCAACGGCAAAATGATCGTCAAGTCCGGCACGGACTTCCAGCAGTTCTCGGTCATCACCATAGAGCGGGATGCGGTCAATCGGGAGCACTTTACTACGGATGTAAAGTGTGTGGACGTGACAGCCAAAATACCGGAGGACCCGGAACTCAAGGAGGAGCTCTCCAAGTATGCCAGTAAGTAGTCGGGGCCATGGGTCTCAGAGGCTGCGAGTTTCCCCTCTCATTAATGCATCGCTTGTTTCTGCTGCAGAGTTCATTGAGAGCAAGCTGTCGGATGTGATGGGTGTGTTCAGCGTGGAGCTGGACGGACGCTTCTCCCGCGTGCGCACCCAGGAGACGAATCTGGGCAATTGGGTGTGCGACGTGGTCCTGGCTGCGGTTGGCGCCGATGTGGTCATACTCAATGGCGGCACCTTCCGCTCGGACCGCATCCATCCAGTAGGGGCATTCACCATGGGTGACCTGGTCAATGTCATACCCATGAGGGATCCCCTCATCCTGCTCGAGGTCAGCGGTCGTGTGTTGTGGCAGGCCCTGGAGAACGGTGTATCGGCGTATCCCAAGCTGGAAGGACGCTTTCCCCAAGTGGCTGGCATCAGCTTCGCGTTCAATCCACTGGCAGAGCCCGGCAAGCGCATCGATCCCCAGTTGATTCAGCTGGGCGATGAGTATCTCAATTTGGAGCAGACCTACAAGCTGTGCGTGAAGAGCTACATCTTCATGGGCTGCGATGGTTATACCATGTTCAAAGGCGTCAATGTCCTGGTGAGTCTCCCATCATTTGATGCTCCTGGGTATAATCTACAGCTCTTTTTGTTCCTTTCCCCCAGATGGATGACGATGCTTGTCCAGAGCTGGGCATCACACTGCAGAATCACTTCAAGGCCATCAATTCGCGCAAATGCGGCCAGAACACCAAGCACCGACAGTCGCTGGTGACGCTCTCGAGGAGGCATAGCCTGGTCCAATGCCTGGACAGCATGGACCTGGACGGACCATCGCCCATCCGCAAGCTGTCCGTGGGACACCACAACAAGTCGATGGATTTGTCGCATGGCAACTCACAGAAGGTCAGTCAGTCGTAATACTGCGAGCATGGCAGGCCCGTCCCAACTAACGTTCTGTTTACTTCCTCAGATGCTGCGTCGTGCCTCTCTGGATGATCTGGAGCAGTCCTCTTGCGAGCTGGCGCCACAGCTGGAGCATCGCATTGTCATGATTCAGAACGAAGAGGTAGGAAAAGGTCCATTGCAGTGGCTACAGAAGCCCAATCTTAACCTTCTTCTCGTCTTCTGCAGCATCATCGGCAGCTGCTGTACAAAAAGGAGACGCAGATTATGAACTCGACGATAACCGAGGCGGAGGACGAGTAAAGATTTATTGAAACAACATTTCAGGCATATGTTGCATTTAATTTTTTGATTTCTCTTTCGTTTTTCTAGTTACAAATGTAGACAAATTGATTTTAAGCCAGGGCCCGAGGTGGAGAGAAATATTTGATTAAGTATAAGCACAGAACAAGTATTTAGCTAGCTAGTTAGTTTTGCAGATCTATCATCTGGGATCGATCATATCTATTCTATTGTATTTGCTGTTAATTGTTACCTACTGATCTACTTCGTTTCGTTTTGGCTATGTTTTGTTCTAAACGTTTCTAAGACTTTCTCCGAAAATGTATGAATTAGATATTGAGTGTATGATGTACGTGTACGTGTACGTGTACCTAAAGATAACCACTAGCTAAACTTAATTTAAATATGATAAACTGATTAATTCACAGCTGATTTATATGTTATATATGTATATGTTACGGAGCTACCATCCTTAAATAATTTTTAAATATCCGGTGTGCAAGTTAGCTAATTACTTGCAAATCAATATAGGTTGTAGCTTGATTGATATTGGAGGAGGAGGAGGAACAAACTAATGGAAATGAATGTAAAGCAATATTTTGGAAAATGCTCCTAAATTGTTGTATATCTACATTGGATATATGTATATTTTTATGAATACTTTTTTGGAGCGTTCACAAAGAGCCCGAGATATTATTATTTTGTAGAGACCAGGAATACGATAATCCTGAAATACACGTAAATGAAGGCTTTAACCAGTCAAAGTTCCACGAACTTGCCCAACAACGGAATGTAGTAACTATATATGAAGGCAGATGAAGGAGTGTGTGCGTGTGTGTGCCATTTTCTTTGTCCATAGAAGCAATCTGATTGCTTAACAGACGACCAACGGGAAAAGAACACAAACCCATGCAGAAACGGAAACAGAAGGGGGTGTAATCAAACAAAAATCAATTATATTGTATACAGCTAAACAATACATACGAGTAAATATACACACATACATATACACATATATATGCCATGCTTAGCTGATTGTCCAATGCTTAGAAAATATAGTTAACTTAAATGTACAATATACATACGTGCCCTAATTGAGTGGAATCCCCATGCACCTGATATTAAAATGATATATACATAAACACATAAATACTATATACTAAATATACTGAACACATCCTTGACCTTCTTCTCGTTTAGACCAGCGAAAATTCCCACAACCATTCAACCATTCAACCATTTTAATCATCTTTTGCTATTGGCGTTAACCCATAGAGAACGCTTTTTGTGTATATTGAACGAAGTACATTGATGTGAACATTTATTAAATAAAAATACATAAAATAGTATATGTAAAAGGGGGTTTGTATCGGGTCCTGTGTATATGTTAGTTGGTTACTCGACAGGGGCACTTAATCGGTTGGTTGTGTGGTTAATGCTAAGTTGGGAACAGAGTTAAACTGCATTGAATTTTAATTGCATTGGTTGCTCCTGGTCTGTTCTCAGTAGAACTGCAATACCAGGGTCTTTATGGCACTGGCAATGTGGAAGGCGCAGTCGCGCACCTCCAATGTATTCTTCTGTATGGCCTGCTTGTCATCGGCCTCGATGGCCTTTTGCAGATTCTCACACTCGTGCTGGATGAGTATATTTTGGCGGGTGAGCTGCTTGAGGGTCTCTCGAGTTTTTTCGCTAGTATTTTGGGGCTGCAACAATGGAATTGAAAGGTACAATCATCAAATCATCATTAAATCGGAAAATTTCACTGCGAGTCTCACCAAGTTGGCATACAAAGCAATCAAATCTGTGACGGCACTTCGTATGAGCTCGCCATGCGGTGCAATCGACTGCTTTTGGTCCTCTGGCACTGGCTGCATGGCCAGTATCAGTTCCTTCAGGCAGCGCGTGACCAAATCTGAGCGCAGCTTAACCTCCTCTCCGAAAGGCTTGCCCTCGCCAGCCATTTGATACATGCTCGTCGTATTCCTCACATCCGTGTGCGTTTTGGCCACGTGGGGCGCCAGGCGACGCTCGTACATGCTGGCTGGCCGCTTGATGGTCGACTGGTTCGAGGAGTTGTTCGAGGAGGCGCTATCAGCATTGGCCCCACTGCCTTCGGGCAGCGACAAAGGCTCGTGCTCTGTGTCGGGACTGCTCAAGTTTAGATCAATGCGACTATCCCAAAAAAAAAAATAAGAAAAAACAACAACAAAAAATATAAAAACAACGAAACAAAAAATGAAATTATAAATGTATTCTCACAGTGGCTCATCGTAGACGCTGTTGTTCGAGGTGCTGGAGAACTTGGACTTGAGCTGTGTATTCTCGCTGGACAGCATTTGCACCACGTTCTTCAGCTGGTTGATCTCCGACTTGTACTCGCAGAGCTGTTTGCGCAACGTCTCCATTTCGTTTCCCTGCGAATTGGCATTGCGTGGTGGCGTGTGGACAATGGCCTAAATGAGCAACCAACAAAGAAATCATAAGTAAAAGTGAACGGAAATCAAAATTAAAGCTAAAATATTTACAACGAAATCAGAACGAAAGCACACACAACTTGTGGGTCAACTCAAAATAGTCAAACTACACTTTCACAAGTCTCAGGCTAGTTTTATTGAGGCTTAATAATTCTACACGTGGACTCTACCGCTGAGGGGGATGGATTATATATGTAGGTATATATGTTAGCTAAGAGCAGGGTGGCTATAGTGCCCTGCCTACAGATGAACACAATAGAAAGGAACAGCACAGGACGTGTCTAACTTTCAGTCTTCTCTTACGTATCTAGCCAAAGCTATTGTTCAGCTTGAGTATCTTTTGTCGCATTAGGTTTACCTGCTGGGCCATAGGGGGCACTGGAGCATAATCATCATCACTGGCCACTGGATCGTAGATCGGCTCATCGTCTGACAAGTTCGGATCGTGCCCGCTCTGCTCGAATGAACTGAGCAAAAGGGAATTGTTCGCATACGGCAACGATTGCAGTGAATGATGCGCGGGCAATGGAGCATCCATTGGCCGCAGATTGGCCATGTTCTGGCGCCGCAATGCGTCGACGAGAACGTCAGTCAAGAGACCAGCAAACTCGCCGCGATTGAAACGTGCCAATTTCTGACGACCCTGTGTGCAAAAACAAACAAAATGATGAGAAAAGAAGGTTCAAATAATTTGCACACTGTGGCCATGTCGTACCTGATTGCGAGTGGCACTCAAAAATGGATTAGCTGGCAAGAATGGCACTGTGGCATGTTCAGCATTTAATGAGCTCGTGGACCAAACTGCAATGGGATGAAACATGATTAATAATTCTTATTAGAGAAACAATCTCCGATCCGATTCGATCCTACTCACTGGCTTCGCACTCTCGTCGATCCACCTCATCGTATAGGTCCATTACCAGCTCCTCGAACATTTTGTTCGGCACCAGCTGCAGTTTGCCTCTAGCAATTTTCAGCTGCTCGCTGATGTCCGCTCCGTTCGTCTCGGGTATTGTCAGGTGGCGCCCACTCTGAGGTTTTAAACAAAAATCATGATCAGTGAACTTTGCATTTTCAATTGCTGATAGTCCCACTCACAGTGTGATCTGGTCTCTTGCCACCCAGGAACAGAATGATCCTGTCGGTGACATCGTACATGGCATCCAGCAAGCGCTCGGCAATGGTGTTGTGGTTGTTGGCCTTGGCCAGCTCCAGGGGAGTCATACCATTGCCATCCAAGGCGTTTACATCGGCTCCATAGATGAGCAGCATCTCGATTTGCGAGGCCTGTCCGAATTTGGCCGCCATATGCAACGGTGTGGACAACTTGTCCTCGTGATAGTAGTTCGGATCGGCACCCTGCACCAGGAAGCGCAGAGAAGTCTCCAGGTTGCTGGTGCGCACGCTGGCATGAAGCTGCCGGCTCAGCTCCTGCTCCAGATTGATGCCATTGCCGCTGCAGTCGTCATCATCCTGCAGACTGGGCTTCAGCACAAACGTCAGGTTGACGTGCTTGGCCTTGATGAAGTCAGACTTCGTGGGATGCAGGGCATCCTTGGGCGTGGGCTTGCGCCAGCGTGGCACATGTTTGCCGCCCGTCAAGTTGCTGCTGCCGTCCAGCAAGTGATGCTCCCACACACTGTTGGCCCCGTGCGCGTTCAGAGAGTTCACGAAGTTCAGCACAGATGGCTCCCAGTTGCCCTGACGCAACGATTTCACAATCGAGATGTGGCGCCCCAGACTGCGGTGCACTGAACAGCAGTCGGCGCACAGCAGAATGCCGCGGTTGATGCTGGCCCAGGAGGGATCTGTGGCCCCACAGTCCCCGCACACCTCCGTCTGTAGACGGGACTTGCTGCGCGACATAATGCGACTGTGGCTGCCACTTGAGCGTGTGGGCGTGGTCTCGGGGGGCGCTATAAATAACTTCTTATGCGCTTCGATTATGCTGCTGGCGAAACACATTCAAGCATTCCACACTGAAGACCCTGCGATAAAGAAAAAAAATGATTGATACGGAAAATACGCGGATTGTGGGGAACCACTGTGAGTCAGAGCTAGGCGCGACACAAACTGAGCCGCCGAACTTGGACCATTGCAACCCGTGCACCCATTCGAATCAATTATGAAAATTACTTTTAATTAATGCCGTGAACGCCTGCACTGCCGTCTGCGCTGATTGTTTATATTTACTGTTGGGTCGGGCGGCCATCTTCTTCTTTTTTTTTCATGAGCGGAAATGATATTCCTCGAGTTTGATCTGCGGTTGAGTATAACTAGCTAGTAAGTACCGTCAGCACTAAACATGTAATTTTAACCGATAGCATAATTCATTTACTACAAGATTGGGGACTTTTAAGTATTCCCTTTTAATCGATTTTTTAAGAAAATAAGGTTTAAACAAGAAAGGTCAACATAAAATCAAATTTTTTACATGGAAACTACACAGGGATGCACTTTGATCAACTAAATGGCAACGCTTCGAATCATCTTTTTCCAACGGACTGGCAACAGACTACGCCGCCCATATGATGTACAGAGTGAGGGCCACTGAAGCCACACGTGCAAAACAATAACAAAGTGTCGACTGGAATCTAATTTGTGAATGTTTCCTGGCTAATAAAGTAAAACAGCATGCAAGTGGAGAATCTCTACACATCAGTGGCCTGCAATCGCTGCACTGAATGTGCCGATTGGGGGTCAAATGGTTTAATTGCCTTCGGTGCCTGCAATTCCGTTGCCATAGTGGATCCCAAGGTAGGGGAATAATACAAAAAAGAAATGGCAAAATAATAAGATAACTTTCGCGTTGCAGTTTAATGGGAATTCGACCAAGATTCTGCACACTCTCGTGGAACACACAAAGCGGGTGAACACTGTAAAGTGGCTGGACAATGATCTTCTTTTGTCTGGGGCCGATGATGCTGACGCCGTCCTCTGGCGATTGGACAACTCTGGGGCCACAAAGCGCACTGTGCTCAAGGGACATTCGAGTGGAGTGAATGCCGTGGATGGCGTGCGTCTGACGCTTGGCTCTTGGCTCCTGGCCACCGCCGCTGCAGACAGCACACTGAAGCTCTGGATCCACAAAGAAGACGATGCACACTGCTTTCAGACAATCCAATTGGCTGGTGGCTTCTGCTTCTCTCTACGCCTCACGCTGCTGCCCAACGATCATGTGCTGCTGGCCTTCAGCGGTGATGATGAAACCATCTCGCTATGGACAGAGCGGATCCCTGCTGGCGACAGTCCTGGGCAGGGTCAGGAACAGGGACAATTTGAATGCGTTCACAAGCTGATTGGCCACGAGGATTGGGTGCGAGGATTGGACTTTGTCTACGACGGAGAGGATTTGCTGCTGGCCAGCGGCTCGCAGGATAACTTCATACGCCTCTGGAGAATCGCTCCACGCAGCGAGGCGCAGATGCTGGAGAATCGGGTGGATCTGTTTAAGCTGAGCGAGAGCGACGGAGAGCTCAAAGTGGAGGAGAAGATTCTACAGTTGGGCCAGTATAACTGGTATGCCGTGAGTCTGGAATCGGTTCTGTATGGGCACGAAGGCTGGGTCTACGGAGTCCACTGGCACATCACAGAGCAGCAGGGTGAGAAGAGAAATAAACCCGAAAAACTTTCATATTAATCAAACGTTGCTTTTAGAGATTCGCCTGCTGTCGGCCTCCATCGATAAGACGCTCATTGTGTGGGCACCCTCGGAGCAAGGGGTGTGGCTGGAGCAGGTTCGCGTAGGCGAGGTGGGAGGAAACTCGATGGGCTTCTTTGGTGGCAAATTCTCCACTGATGGGCGCTCCATCATGGCCCACAGCTACCAGGGAGGCTTCCACATATGGAACCAGAACCCAGATCAGCCCCATCTATGGACCTCCAATGTTGTCATTGGCGGTCATTATGGAGAGGTGCGCGACCTGGCCTGGGAGCATGATGGAGCTTACTTAATGACTGTCTCATCGGATCAGACAACGCGTCTTCATGCCCCTTGGCTGCAGGAGGGCGGCGGCTGCACATGGCATGAGCTGGCCCGACCCCAGGTCCATGGCTACGACATGCAGGCCCTGGCATTGCTCTCACGCTATAAGTTTGCAAGCGGGGCCGAGGAGAAGATCGTGCGCACATTCCAGGCCCCGGCGAACTTCATCGAGAACTTTCGTCACATCAGTCGCGTGAAGACGGATGAGGAGGGAGATGTTCTTTTGGATTGTAAGAGATCAATAGCGTCTTTTCCTTTCCCACAGTTAACCATTTTGTTCGTTTTGCCTGCAGCTTTGCCTGAAAGGAGCCTCCGTGCCTTCGCTGGGACTGTCCAACAAGGCTGTCTATAAAGTAGAACCAGAGAGTGGCGAGCCAGCGAAGGCTAAAACCGATTATCCAGACAACTACTTTGTGCCCATAACATTGGAAACACCGCCCCAGGAGGAGACTCTGATGCAGAACACGCTTTGGCCCGAGCTGCAGAAGCTCTACGGACATGGCTATGAGGTCTTTGCCCTGGCCGCCACTGCAGATGGCTCCCTGCTGGCATCCACTTGTCGAGCCAGCACCGCGGAGCATGCTCAGATTATTCTCTGGTAGGTAGCCAAATTGGTGGGCAAATCGAGTTGTAAATAACTTCCTGGGGATCTTGTTGCAGGAATTCTTCCAACTGGAAACAGGTGCAAAAGCTTGGTGGACATCAGTTGACCGTCACACAGCTCAGCTTCTCCCCCGATTCAAAATATTTGGTGTCCGTATCCCGTGATCGCCGCTGGTCCCTGTTTGAGAGGCAGGATTCTGCCGTGGGCTACAATCTGGTGGCCACAACGGACAAAACAAATGGAGTGCACACGCGCATCATTTGGGCATGTGATTGGTCGCATGATGGAAGATACTTTGTCACAAGCTCCCGAGACGGAAAGGTGGTGGCATGGAGGAAGGGAGCAAAGACGACTGAGTCATCTTCACTGAATGGCTGGCAGGCGGCGGGCATTCTGGAGCTCAAGAACGAGTCCATTACAGCGGTGGCCTTTGCCAGAGACTACCTGAGTGGCACCACTGACACCTACGTTCTTGCTTGCGGCACAGAAACTGGCCAGATAAAGATTTATCAGTTCGCTGTGGGAGAATGGAAGCTTCTCATCGATATAAAAAGAAAGTGAGTAGATCTTCGTGGGGGTTTCTCCCGCCAAGCCTCTGACCTGGGTATTTATTTTCAGTCATGCCCATCACTTGACCGTGCGTCGCCTGCAATTCCGACCTGGCCAACAGCAGCTACAACTGGCCAGCTGTGGCGATGATCACTTGGTGCGCATCTACAGCATAAAGATGACGTGAATTTGGCAACTCTGTGTGTGTGCATTAAACTGTCCTTTGCAATAACACTTTTTGCGTTTAATTAGAAACCTGTATGACACGTTGGAAAACTCCCTTCTCGGTATCGTACACGGTATATCGAAGCACGTAATCTTATCTGTCGCAATTAGCAGTGTTCTGAGCTCCCCCCACGGCAGAGAAGAGCAGAGCGGAGTGAGTCTGCTTCTGATAACAACATATTGATGGTTAATTAGGTGCACCATTTTTGCACTCCGGGACGTTGAATTCGACTATTTAAGCTCACTTTTTCAGTGGTTCGATCACAGTCAATTCCAGGCAATTCAACATGAAAGCAGTCATTATCTTGGTACTCGTCGGTTCTGTTCTGGCCGTTCCCCCCTTCAGGGTGATGTCCCAGAGCCAGAGCGTGTCGCAGGATGCTCATGCACATATCTTTGCTGAGGTGCGACCAGCAGGTCAGAAGCACCAGCAGCAATCCGTCGACATGGAGCTCAATGAACAAGCTCTTGTGGTGAAGACGAAGCCAGCTCATCAAGCCGCTGCCGAGAATCACGCTTATGAAGTTGAGTTGAAGCCAGCTCATCAGAGTACTAACGAGAACCACGTTGTTGAGGTGGGAATCAAGCAAGCGGAACAGAAGCCCCAGCACATTGAGTTGGACATCAAGCCCGTGCAGCATAGCCCAAGCCATGTGGTGGAGCTGGAAATTAAGCAGGCTGATCATCATCAGAAGCCCCAGCACATCGACGTGGAGTTGGTTGCCGATCATCAGGGCGTGCAAACCCATCACGAAGTCGAATTGGAGGTTATTCGTCAGCAGCAGCCACCCCATCAGATTGAAGTGGAGATCGTCAAGGCCGGCGACTCCAATGTGGTGAAGCAGACCCTGCCCGTGCAATCTCTTCAGCACCTGAACCTCAACCTGGCCCAATAGAGAAGCAGCCACAAAGGTCGATGTATTCCAAAGTGCATTAAATATTTATAATTAAAAGAACGCTCTTTACCTGCAAGTCCTCCCAAGGTGCTTGTAAAATGGGGAAATAAATAAAAATGGTCAGCAGCCGCTGATGGCAGAAGGAATGCGAGGAAAAGTAGGAGGCAGGAGGAGGAGGAACCAACCGCAGTTTGCAATTTCCGTTTTGCTGCTGTTGAATAGTTTCGGGCGCTTAGCTAGAGACCAAGACAGACACGGCCACGTGACCAGGAGCCAGAGCAGCAGGCAGCGCAGCTAAAGTTATGGCTGAAGCGTGTGCCACCTTCAGTTTTTTAGCCGCAACTTGCAATTTCCGTGCTCCAACTGACTTTATGATTGCCATTGGCTTTTGGCTGCAGCTCCATTGTTGTCCGAACTTGGTGAGCGGAGCTGGCAAAGCGGTTAATTGGCTGGCGGCCATCTTTCTTTGGCACTTTAATTATGTTTTCATGGAGTCCACAACTCTCGCATATCCTAGTACTGGTATCTCCAGGCCCTTTGCAATGTCGTTGAACTGCCTGTTCCCCCATAGATAAGCGCATAAATCTGCATTGTTTCAAGTGCCACAATGGGGCAAAAAGTTAACTATTGAATTGCATTTAGGCCACGTCCATGTGGCTCGATTGTGCAACTTCTGGGTACTGGTACACTGTACAGGGAAGATGCCTGTGGAAGGCCCCTCCAGGCTCGCTTATGCCGCATCCGTAAATGCCAGCTCTCACTGTACTCGTACTCGTACGGGTGTGCCCCACTCATACATTTTATTTTGAGTCAAATATTGCCAAACAATGCGGCAGGCATTGAAATGGCGCTACACGCGTTTCCGCATCCGCACAAAAAGTTGCATAAAAAACATCCACATAAAACTTTTGTTCAACTTGCATTGTGCTGTGGCATGATTCCACTCTTTATTTATTTTCTTAGCCCCCGACATTTGTTATTGTTGCAACAATTTTGTGTTTCGCATTTTGTGAAAAAAGTTTAAGTTTCAATTGCAGCGAACGTGCCCAAGTTGCTGACAGCAGAACTGCAGCTGCAACTGGAGCCGTTCTGGCCATAACATGTGTAAACATTCCACTCTCTACAGCAGCCTTCGTGGGGAGGGGGGTTTGGATTCGTTTGCATCTCTGTGCTGTGTGTCAGTAGTGGATTTCGCTTCGGTTGCGCGTTTTGTTTGTCGGCGGCGAATTTCCTCTACTCTTCCCCAGAGCAGTGCGGAAGGTCTCTCTGCTTGCTCGTCTTGGGTGTGTTTGCATCTCGATGTAGATGCTGTGCCAATTAATTACTCCCCAGCTGTGCAGCGTATCCAAGCTTGGGCATGAGAGTTCGGCAGTCACTGCCTCTGCCTGCCTCCACGCATATGTTTCGCATTTATTTCCGTTCTGGCTGGCGGCTGCAACAATGGCATGCGGTCCATGATTTGTGCATTTCCGTTTTTTTGGCAACACGCACGCGACGTGTGGCCAGGCCGGAAGCTGCCATGACAGGATGTGGGTGGAGCTACAGCTAGAGCTAGAGCAGCAGCAGGAGCAGGCTGTTGGCGGCTGACTGTTGCGACAAAGCCAATTGATGTACATTGAATATTTGGCCTAGTTCGGAGGAAGCTGAAAGCAGGCGAAGGAGGAGGAGAGGAGCGTGTCTCCAGGGCAGTGTCAATTTAAATCGTCAATTGATTAAGCCGGGCATTGCCTTTTGGCTGTAACAAGCTAAAGTTTCAATCGAAAAGTTTCCCTTTTCCTGCTGCTAAGCCCAAAAGCTGAAGCGTTCAAAGTTTTTCAATTACCTGACCAAGGGGCCAGTGCCTTGCTTGGCTCCACTCGATTGGCCTGTCCCAGTGCCAGTGCCTGCTCCCTGTGCGGGGATCCGAAACAAATTTCATGTTGCCATAGTTTTGTTTGTCCTGCTAGAGTCGGGTAAAGAACAACAGGAGGGGGCTCTGTGACGAACAAGACAGAAACAAGTGGCCAAAGTAGCAAAAGCCCAAAGCTGAAAGCTGAAAGTTCTTCTGGGTTGCAGTCGGACGAATCCTGTGGATTTTGATTATAAATATTATGTATTATAAACTATACTATAAACAAAGCAGTCAGCAAGGGGGGGCTAGCTATATTTAGTGCGAAACTCTTCTGCTTGATTCCGCTTTCATTTGTTCAGCTTTCAGAGTCCGTTGAGCGTCGGTGGTTCCTTAATTGTTTTCCAATTAGTTTTGGTGTAAAAACTTTGAAGTTCATTTAGTTGCACACTCGCGTTTTTCCCCGTCGCTTCATCCTTGCTCTTTGGCTGTCTCTTTCTTTTTGTGTGGGCCACAGTCAACGTGGCGTATGATGAATTTTTAATTACGGACAGGACAGCAGACAAAGCAGACTAAAAAAAAAGGAGGAAACTGGTAACAACTGTTTGCCACTTGTAAATTGAAGCTCGCTCACAAAAAAGTGCACCAAAAAGCTGAGTGTAAACACCAAAGCCAACTCCTCGTTCGTGTCGTGCCGTGCCGTGCCGTGTCCGATGTCCATAACTGAGTGAATACAGAAAAAACTGAAAGACAGGCCCAGGCAGCCAAGATAATTACACAAACAGATCATTGCTGCAACTTCACAATGAAATGGAGCTGAAATTCAGATCCGCATGAATTTAAATTTCGTTGCGTTTCCACTGTGGAGCAGCGTAGTTAAAGTCTTAATTTTGCCCCGATTCGTGGGCCGACCTTTGGCGCTACCACGGCTATAAATGCACCCACTATGGGCCAGGCCCTCATTGCTTGTTTAACTGTTTGCCCTTCGCAAATCGAATACAATTTTGATTGTTTTAAGCGCGAAATTCTGTTGACCATTTTCAACACTTTTTTTCGCTGCCTGTCCCGCTCCACTGTTGATTGCATTTGTAAATTTGCGTAAAATGGAAAAAGAAAACCATTTGGTGTACTGTCAACAGCGTCAGCATCCTCATCATCACCTACTGGCACAGGACCATAACCAGAACCAGAATCAAGCCCGGGTGCAACCTCAAACTGCCATGGGCCGACAGGGCCAGAAGCATTTTCCGACATTTACGATTTCCCTTATTGCTTGCGCTTTCATTTTGGTTTCATGCACTTTCCCCCATCCCACCTTCCTGCTCTGTGCCAATGACAATTTCATGTTGTTTTTTTTTTTGTTTTTTTGTTTTGTATCAATATGGTTGGAGGAGAGGCAGAGACAGAGACAGAGACTCTCTCGACATCTGTAATGCATGGGCTGCGATAACTTTTGTTTCCCACTGTAATACTATTTGCATATTGCAGGGATCCATTTCGACATGTTTATGGCTGTCATAAAGATCCTCTCCTCTCCACTGAAGCTGCCTGGAATCATATTTAAATCATATATATATTCGTATACGAGCATGGATTTATCTCTACACGAAATACGAGTTACGAGATACACATACGAGTACTCATTCAATTGTACAATTAAAATTCGGCCACTGCCACTTAATGGCCACTTTCTAGTCATGGTAAATAGAGTGCTAATATGTTTCGGCATATATAAAGAATAATTAAGGAGAGTTTTGTACACGATCCGAAGAGCCCGAAGCAAGTGGAATTTCCATAAAGATCTGAGACCTCTTCGGTATTTGGGTCTAAGGGCAATCAATAGATAAAAGAGCATAGCTGGTGCGGTGCTGCTTTCAGACTCAAAGTGACTCTTTCCTGTCACTTGTCACTCTTTTTTTTCACTCCTTTTTTGACGCCTGTGGAGGGCGTTAAAGTTAATTTGTTTACGCTGATGTGTCAATGCAAAATGCGATTTTTTCAGCGACTTTATTCAAGGACTTTGGATAGATTTGTTGGTGAAACAAATTTGCGGAATATTGTGCGGCTTTATAAATTCAATATTCCGTTGAGCCCGGCTAAGAGCGAGGCGAAGCGAGGCTGGTGGCCATTGATGTGGCTTACCGCAAATGGGAATGGGGCCAGAGCCGCAAGAGCAAATCGGTTTAAGCTGCACAATCAACTCTGACTTAATAACATTAAAAAGTGCTCCGCTTTAATGGTCTTTAAGTCAATTTTCAGTGCCTTCTGAGACTCGGCAACTCACAACTCCTCCCTAGACTCCTGGCCAGGTCTCAGGGCAAAATGATAAATTTTTCTGCTAAAGAACTGCGAAGGAAAGGCGACGCTGGTTTATAAGCGTGTTCTAAGTACGTCTGTGTGTGTGTGTTTGTGGGTCTGCAGGATAGGAAACTTTGAGGAAACACAGCCGCAACTTTAGCGGGGACGACATTTCCTTTGGGCTTTGCAGCAAATTATGCGGTTGGGGATGTCTTGGGTTGAGCATGCGGAGGCATGGCGGCACCTGCTACTGTCGGAACGGATGTATGAACTGAGAGGATGCCCCGCCACTCATCCAGTCGGTCCGGGTGAGCGATGGCTGTTTGAACGTTGTCGACTGTCATATTACATGTTGCACGTAATTTGTATGGCGCCGCTCCTGGCGTAACGCTTTAATTTATGCATCCATCAATCGCATGAGTGCCGCTAATTGATATTACGTTCCCCCTGCCCAGAGTCGAACCAAATACTGGCATTATGCGTACACGCAAAGTGGTACATATAACAGATTTAGGCAGACATTTATTTGAACAAAAAAATGCCATATCGCAATAAATGTTTTGGCAAATCCGATTCCGGCATTTCCATTTGCACTCCTTCGCCCCCCCCCTAGTGCTACCCCCCTAATTAGTAAGTCGAACAGATTTTCCAATAAACAAATATCTGATGGAATCCCCGCTGTAATATCGATCTGTTCGCCGTGTGTATGCTTCTGCATGTGTGTGCCTCCCCCTCGGTGTCAGAGTTCAAATTATGAGTTCATTGCAAAAGTCTCGCGGCACAAAGCTACACTCTACACTCTACACTGGCGAACAAAGAGCAAATACACTCGGCGTCAGACAACGGCAACAATAACAAAAACAGCAACAACTACTACGACGACGACGACGACTACTCGAGTGTCATTGTCTGAGTTTGTGTGTTTGATGGGTTGAAAACTCTTTGAAATGAGAGGGGTAGTGGTGGGGGGGGGGGGGATACATTTCGCAGGCCTGCCTTGGACAAATGCCTGCCAGTGGTGAGACACTCTCAGCACTCACTCCCTGGTGTCTCAGCACTCTAATCAGCAGTGAACAGTGAGGCTACAGTGAACACTGCGCAGAGTGCATTCCCTTATGAAGAGAGAGAATGTTTTGCCCGATTAGTTCCCTCCACTGTGTGACCACTGTGGAAGCACCCATATTTACAGTCAGCTCTCATCAGTGGTGCATCTCTGGGTGCCGAGGGATCAACTGGGACTACCTCACATGTGTCTGCCTGCGCCTGGACCCGTACTTAAGTGTCGGCCATTTGACCATCAACTAGCTGCTGGCGACCCTGTGGAGGGTAGTGTGATGACCTCGCCCTTGCTGCTTAGCCCCATCAGTTTGACTGCCGCTGTCAAATGTCAACGGGAATGCAAGCGGGAACCTGGGCAGAGCACCAAGCTTTTGTCACTTCACCTGCACTTCCCCTCCTTCGCTGTTTGTTGTCTCCTCCACGATTGTGATGTTGCTGAAGCCGTCGAACAATGCCAACGGCTAGAGCGGCTCTTAGTTCGTCACTATGAAAGGTGCATGGTGCTGAAGCTGGTACTGAAGCTAAAGCTGAATCTGGCCGTGTTAATGACAGCGGAAGTGCACTTTATTTAATTAATGTGTCATAATTATAAAGTGCTTATGTTTGCTCATGTGCGAAGTGGGTGGTTGTTGGAGAAATATCTTCGCGACTGACTATCTGTTTACCTGCACCGTTGGCGCTGCATGATGGGGTTAATGGGGGAAAAATGCCATAAAGTGCAGCGCAAACTGGGCATGGCTGATAGGCAAATAAAACTGCCAAGCAAATACTCAAACCATACAAATGGAATGGCAATCAATGATCAAATGAATTAAATGAGCTTTCAGCTTTCAGCATTCAGCCTCAAGATGGCTTGAGGCAGGGCTCTGTTGCACGGGAGGTTAATTTGAAGCTCCACAGAGACGGTGTACGAGTCGTTTTTTATAGTTACTAATCATTTCATGATGAAAACAGTTGACTTATTCCTGGCGAAACATTCTGAGTCGGTCCTCTTTGCTGGTTCACATAAAAACAAGTTGATACATTGGATAGGGTTAAGGAAAACGGCAGCTAAACGTGTTTAGCGTCTGGCAGCCTGTTGAAAGAAACCAAAAATTAATTTTTTTATTGCTGAAACTGATTGACAATTTTACAGTAAATTTACACAGATTGATGGCAATTAACACGCTGTTGCATGCCATATACTCGTATGTGGCATGTGATTGCCAAGCAATTGATCCTCTAATTGTTATGCCTTGGATTGCTCTTGCAGTCCGTGTGGCTCACTCGTTGTCATGTGGAGTAATCAGATTAATTAGGTGGCATATCAAGTGGCACTTTGCCTGCCATCATGGCCTCCCAGTTAACATTAGGAACTTTGCAACATGTGTCGTGGCATCGCATAAAATGCCAATTACTTCAATTAGGCGACTGCTGCTGCGCGCTACCGCCCCCTGCGGAGTTGCCAATGGCTACAATCAACCTCAATTTGAATGCCACTTAATGCGCTTTAAGAGCGCACCCCCAACCCAACCCGACCCAACCCCACCCCACACCACAGCCACACCACCACAGCATTCCGTTGAGACATTTTTTTGTGGATGGACTGTCAGAGCTATTAAAAGTTTGTTGCTTCCACTCCTAATAACCAATTAAAGTGCAAAAATAAACATTAATTATGCGGCATTATGTGGCTTGGCTCTGCACTCTTTGAAATATGTTGCAACTTTCTCCATGTGGCACTTTACATTGTTAGTGGCGGTGGACGGACGGCAGCAGCGGCCATTTTAAAGTTTTTCAGAATTTATGCACATTGTTGCATTCATTCGCATGCATGTGTGTTAGTATAGGGTGTGTGTGTGGGTGTGTGTGTGTGTGTGGGTGCAAGGGCATAAGTAATCAAGCAACCAGAAAAGTGCAAAATGCAAAGTATTTATGGGGGCTTAGAATGAATTGCCAGGACGGTCTGTTGGAGCACTATTTGCATAAGCCGTACTTGGACGGTCCTAAATAACTGCATTTTAATATAGTTCTTACATCCCTGCACATGTTGTGTGTGTGTGTGTGTTGCTTTGCATGCGAGCATCAGTCCTTCACTCTACAAAGGAGACCCGTGCACTCTGGCGCTTCTCTATCAGCTTGCTGCTCCCCTCAAGTGTCTCTTCAAATTGAACTGAAGACTTCTTGGAACTTCAGTTCTATTGGCCTCTTAAAAACAAGGTGCAATTATTGCAAGGCCATACCCAGCCACTGCCACTGCCACTGAGACTGCCCCCAGTTACAGTTCTTGTTCGCCCATCCCCCCCTTTACCTTTGGCAAACTAGAATAAGTGCTTTTGAGTCGCTTTTAGAAAAGTCCAAGTGGGACAAACTTTGTCGCTGTCAAAGTTAAACAGGAGCAACTGAATAAATTGTCAAGGCTGCTGCCGCCTGCCTTCTGCTCCATCAAAGATAGCGAGCAAAGGGGAAAGGCAAGGCCCCCCCCCCACAAAGTTACAACAAAGAAAAGTTGCCTAACGATGAGTTCCAAATTT